ACCATCAGATGTAATGGTAATCATTGATCCTGAATCATCTACATTAGTCTTGTTATCCAATTTATTCATTAAACCATATTCTTCAAGATAACGAGCTCTTGATATTTCAGCTCTCATCGCTCTACCAGGTTCCATTTCTTCACAAGCTCTTTTTAAAGCTTTAACTTCTAATATTTTATTATCCATATTAATGAATTTAATGTCATTCTAATAAAATAATAAGAAAGTAGAAACATTCTATAAACATAAAAGCAGGCAAATAAGTAACATTCTATCCTTTCACTCAATTTCTATTCTTCAGAATTAATTATAAATAGTATTGGTTAATTACTTACTTACTTACGCCTGTTACTCCTCGTGGAGGAGCATAAGCCACCCACAAGCACTCTCCATCTAAACCTGTCTCGGACAATCCTTCCCAGTTCTTTCCAGTTATTATTCATATCTGCTTCTATTTCCCGACATAATGTGTTCTTTGACCTTCCTCTTTTCCGCTTCCCTTTAGAATTCCAAGGTACAGCTTGTCTCGTGATACAGTTTGGTGATTTCTTCAATGTATTTCCATAATTTCATCTTCATCTGCAAGCTGGTTTGTTCTCGCACACAATAGACTGTTGCTGATGGCATCCGGTCAATGGATGTTGAGTATCTTGCATAGACAGCCATTTAGAAATACTTGTATGTTTTTGTTGATGGTTGTAGTAGTTCTCGAAGTTCGAGCTCCGTATAGTAGAACTGTGTTGACGTTCGTATTGAAGATTGTGACTTTTGTATTATTATTATTATTATTATTCACAAACATTTTATGGGTACATAAGTGTTGTGAAGAAACCATTTCGGGTTTCTTCAGATGATGCAAAAATACAAAATTTTCAATAATGTCAGCGTTATACTTGGCATATTAAAGAAAAAAAAATTAAGAATAATAATAGTAGAATATTAATAATAATAAATCAGGTCTGTAGAATTGAGAAGAATATTGAATTGAGTTTTGAAGAAGGAAATGGAGAAATTAAGGGAATAGAAATAAAGGAGACGTGAAATACGCAAGCAGTGTAATAGGCGTGTTTATAAACACAGAAGAAGAATAAACGACTATTTGTGTATCGTCTAATTAGTAACAAAAATTAATTTATCATTGTAGTAAGATATGACGGTAGAATGAATGTTTGTGCAGTTATTGTTTAGATTGATGCTATGAAAGTCACAATTAAGTGAAAAGGATAATAATATTTTGAATTCTATATGTTTTTCAACAGCAGGAATGCGGACCTTGCTTTGCCGATCCTCATATTTACGTCTACATCGAATCCTGTTTGTTCATCGATGATGCTTCCCAGATATATGAAGGATTCCACATCTCTCAGAGTCTCACCATCAACTGCAGCATTACTCTGAATGAAAAATCTATTGCATGATCCTTGTAGACAATCTGAAAACGTTTCAATTGCTATGGTGAAAGCAACAATGAACAATCAACGTTAGGTACAAATAACAAAAGGAAGAAACAGCCCAGTTCAATATGACTATTATACCAAACAATAAAACGAGAATTCATGATCTCAAATATTAAGATTACTATAATATCTATAAAAACCCCTTCTGATAATAATCAACATACGCTCACTAGTGACTGGTCTCAAGAGATATTTCAAGGAGTTCTAGTGAGAAGCAATGACCAGTGAAGTTCAACCAGGTCTACACATTTATTAACATGAAATAAAATTGACTACCTTTAGAAAAATTGTTATAAATAAACAACAGATAAACATCGAAGTAGTTCCACTTAAGTAATATACAATTTCTAAGAATAAATCTTACTGAAAGATTTTTTAAAATATAATTCTCATTTTCCAATGTGCTTGATTAAAATCAATTTTTGCTGAAGTACCACGTGTAGAACCAGATTTTTCACCAGTGATACCAATTGTTTTGTTTCCAGTTGATTTTGTTGCTGATTTAATAGTTCTACTATCGGAACCTTGATCAGCTGAAGTATTTCGGGAAGTTTTATTATTTACTGAAAAAGCAAATCAATGAATGATATTGTATTATTGTTGTACTTTCTTATAATGAGGTGATGCTTAAGTGGTTAAACCACTTATATCACCATTAATGAGTTGCGATATACTTTCTAAATACTTGGTCAGTCTACAATATGAAACCAGAAACCAAATTTATCCTGAAAACTAAAGGCCCTGGGTTCGAATCTCGCGAGAGGGATCGTGGATACGCACTGCTAAGAAGACCCACAACAGGACGAATTGGCCGTCCAATGCTTTCAGGTTTTCCATGACGGTCTAACGTCAGTCGGTTCATGATCTTAATTAAAACTTAACAATCTCCACAATCTTTATACTGATATCTCCTGGAAAGTTGAATTCCCACAATATTTCGAATAATAATTGACACAAACCTATAGTACATATATGTGTCAAAGCTGACCTATATGGATGTGTGCAAGGAATTGTTTTGGTCTGATGAAAAATGCACCGACATACAAGAGTCTATTCACACATCCATTCATCGCTTGCTATGAGATTTTCAACAGCTCAACATATTGGAACACTTCTTCACCTTCTTCATTTCAGAATGCTAGGTCATTTCACTAGCATATGCAACGTGATTCAAAGTCGAGTACATAAACCAATATTTAGTAAATCAGTTACCTAAACATGAAAAAGCTTTTTTTGATTTAAATGATGTAATTATAAGCATTTTTTAGACAAACATGTCAGCAACTCTGGACGTTCTTACTTCTTCATCCAATTTCAGAGCCGAACTAGACAATATGATATTAGTTGATTGACAACTTATCAGTTTTCAACGATTTTCATATTTCTGAGCTTGATGTTTAGATCATCAAGATTTCAGTGGCTTTTCAAATATCCACACAGTACAAACTTGAAAAACTCATTACATCATCTGGTTTACAGAATGCGATACCATTGAAACCCATTTTCTGTCTCACAGATCTCCAAAATACCAAGTCAGTTTCAATATGCTGTCATGTAAAATGACTACGTTAAATGTTTCTAACAGTTGGTCAAGCTAACTATTCAATGGGAGAAAATACAAACTGACTAATAAGCTGTGTCATCAATTGATCCATGATGAGGGCGTGCGTTTGAATCCCACTTCCAACACATATTTAGGCTCCCAAATGCGCTGGTACGGCTCAGAGTGAGGAGAGTAAGCTCTCTCTTTTGAAATGCTCACAAGTTGCCACGTGCATACAACCACTGTCAGGGAAGCACTATTCCCTGCATTCTGGTTGCATTGCTGTTGTTTACGAAATTGAGAGGGCGAAAAACGAATATCTGCATCGATCCCAGAATTTTGACGTTTGGCAACTAGTATAATAATGCCAAGTCATTGAATGCACTGATCCAAATTTCCAGCTACAATTAATATGTGACATAGTATGATCCCTAAGCAATGTCATAAGTGAGCTTATAATTCATTCTCAGGTTGAATGATCTTAATAATCTAAGTCTACCATTCCAAAGTCTTCTAGAAAATCATACTGAAATTACTCATTAGTAAGCATAAAGTTCTCATGAAAATTAGCTTTCAACTGTGTAAAAACTCGGTAAGCTAATATTTGAAGAATTAATTCGTATTACTTTAATATAAATCTATTGATTAGTTGACTTGGTATTGTTTGTTTGTATCATATCATTAATGTTAAGGGCTGCAGTTGATCAGTCTCTTGTTGGAATATGTGCATACTGTGCAGACAGCCTCGATATTACCTTACGGCACAAGGATTATAAGCAAAGGTGGATGATGGCTGATAATAGAATCCAGAACGCGCGTTTCGTTTTATTTGAGACTCATCAACTGGACGTACCTGGATCCTAGAGTTGATGTTCATTTCGAGACTCACGCTTAGTACCGTTCGCTTCAAACGTCATAGCGTTATCCTGTATTCTACTGCTTGTCACCATCTATCTTTGTTCATTACTTAGTTGGTTTATGGAATTTTCGAAAAACCTTGATTATAAGTTTTCATTCGCCTAATCAATTATTACTTTATTCTTTACCATTTAAAAATGATAGCTGATTAACAATCAATGTGTTATCCAGCTTTACATTCATAATTATGTCGCTATTTGCTTATTTAAAGTTATCATATGTAATGAGTTATTTTTTTCTGGTCATCGTATGTTTACAGAAAGAAGTGCTGGCAGTGAATAAGGCACACATTGAAGAAATCACCCTACTGCGTCACAAGGAAAGCTCTCATTTGGAATCCTCTAGTCTGAAGGAGAGGATTAAAACCAAAGATTACATTACACCGAGAAATGGAGACAGACATGAGAAGAATTTAAAAAATTCAATAAGACTAGAAAGGAAGGCTCAGGATAGAGTGAGTCGGAGAATGCTAACCGGCTGCCTATACTCCATTGGGAGTATAAAAGATATCAATAATTGAGTTCACGAGTAAATTGAATCTAGACGGCGATGAAAAACCGGAAGCTCTGGACGACCGTTTTGTCCTATTGTTGGACTCCTCAACAATGCAGCTCCACGACCCTGACTTGCGGGATTCCAATTGAAGATTTGCAATCATTCATCAGACCTTCTAATGTTCTGTTTTTTTGTAAGGTTGGAAACATTTGAATATTCTATGAGATTAGTAACCATGATGAATACAATATCATAACTAAAGGATTGATTACATAAAATACGTAATTATTTTCATTGATAGAATTTATTTAACTTACTCCTGGTTTCATATTTTTCTTTACTGACGCAGATCTTCTTGGAGATACTTTAGTATTATTCAATTTATTCAATATAACTTTTGTATTGGTTACATATTTTATACTTAATTTGATATTGTCACCTTTATTCACTTCTAATAGACGTCCTGAATTAGATGTTTGACTATTTATGTCATTTATTATTGTATCAGCTAATATAATATAAGCGAAAATACATGGTCCACCATAACCTTCCGCAAAGATCATTTCTTTATTGCCCATTTTATTGCATTAACGTGTAAAAATATTTGGTACAGATAATCGTAAATGAACAGTAATCAAACTATCATTAGAAGCCTATTAGTAAATGAGAAAAGAAAGAAAATATAAGTGGTTAGAATTTTTTGATTGAGATCATGAACCGATTGATGTTAGACCACCATTGGAAACCTGGAAGCACTGGACGGCCGTTTCGTTCTATTGTGGAACTTCTCAGCAGTGTGCATCCACGACCTACTGGACCACTGAGCCGGCATCCAATGGTGATAGTGTATAACATCAACCAATCCATGAAATTGTTCGACCATCTTCCATTGTACTGAGGTAGATACTTGTCTCTACCCGAAATGGATTAGCTCCACTGGTCACATCGAATACGTGGTTGTTTTCTTCCAGGTTTTCCATGATAATCTAGCTTCAATCAACTCATGATCTGAACTATTGAAATTGCTATCATATCCATAAAATCCTCTTCTCGTATGAATCAACATATGCTCACTAGTGACTGGTTTCAAGAGATATTTCATGGAGTTCTAGTGAGAAGTAGGTGACCTGTTAAGTTCGACCGGGTCTGTGGTGAGATTGTAACTCACTGATGACAATGATGGACAGTGGTGAGATTTCATGAATTAAATGAAGTTAGACATTAACACCGTTAGGTACCAGTCGGCTCAGTGGTCTAGTGGTTAGGCGTTCTCACGTGAAACTGATAAATCCTGTGCTTGAATCCTGCGAGCGGGATGGTGAATGCTCACAGTTGAGGAGTCCCATACTAAGTCGAAATGACCGTCCAGTGTTTCCAGGTTTTCAGTGGTAGACTCATGAATTCAACTCTAATTTCATTAGGCTTACTCGATAACTGTCAAAAAAAATTATCTTTAATTATAAGTTATTATCAGATAGAGAATCATTGAAATCTACATAGCACTGAACAATCGTTTCTTCATAACATACTTCTCTATATGAGATTGGAAAACAGGAACTTCAAATTACATAAACCGGAATATATACCCTATCATAACAATCATCATATGTTAATCAGTAATTCCTGAAATTTGAATGAAAACCTATAATTTATAGAATTCAGTTGTGTTAAACATGAGGCAAATGATGATGATGATTGCACAATATCAGGAATTGACTAAATTTAGAAATATAAATCTTTACATCTAAACTAAGTAGTCTAAATATTCGGGATCTCGTATGTTTAATCCAAAGTCAGGGTTATGAACATTCTCTGTTGATAAATCATATACCAGAATGAAATAGTTATGTCATGAATTGACTTATGTTAGAAATAACAACGTTTAAACCCCAAGCCTCGTAGTCTAATAAAGGTTTGGGATCTCGTATGTTCAATCCAAAGGCAGAGTAATGAACATGCTCTATTAATAAGTCATATACGAAAATGAAATAGTTGTTCAGAGTTTCCTAGTTTTAAAAATGATCCCTTAACAACAAATAAGGTAGTTACTATATAAATAAACTTACTATAATTTTACGTCGAAATAATAAATTTTTCGGATTCGGTTCATAATAAACTTCTAATTCAATAATATGAAAATTTGACCATAAATTTAATGTTGTATTTAATGGTTTAGGTAGATTTTCATTACGCATTATACCAGGTCCTAATAATTGTAAGTTCCATTTAACACTTGGTATAGCTGTTTTATTATTAGTTACTAATCCTAATAAACTATATCCATGTTTTGTTTTTTCTTTAAGATTTAACCAACTATATGGATTTTCAATAGATGGATGAATGATTTCACCTATAAGAAAGAAAACATACATATATAGACAAGTGAGTGGTTAAGTGATTAAACTAATATAATGGATAATTTGTGATATTTTTTCTTGCTCTTCGATGTACTTTATATGACTAGTCACTTCATATCACATTCAGGATTTATGATCCAGAATAAACAACCAGATTCAATCGGTTAGTCAGCAACCAAAAGTAGAATTTCGTACGTACGTACATCAGTTCAAGTTGACATACCACATCACTACACAGATACAATTGTCCATTCAAATCGCATAGTGGTAAGAGGTAGTAAAAGTATAAACAATAATCGGAAACATTAGCGTTTGAAGATGTTATTCAAGGAGTATGATGAAGTGAAATAAAAAAAAGACATGAAGAATTCAGAAGATTAGAATTTGCGAGAACACAAGAAATGGATGCACCTGAGCCATTGCAAACGATTTCCTAACAACTGGATTACTCACTCGGTGGTCCTATGGTATACGATCAATGGTTGGAAGACACATATGACAGGATACTAGTAACTTAAGAATATCCTCTACTCTAACAGGTCATGTTTTACAATGAAGTTACAAGTGATCACTCTCCATGATTCCTGTGTATAAATCAAGGAGAGAAAGGAAATCACATATTTTATAGTACATAGGTCAAGTGTCTGTTCGTTCACACTCAATGGACAATCATATTTTACTTTCATAACCACAGATTAATATTACTGATTGATATGAGATAAAAAGCTGTAGAAAACTATACAACTTTATGTATTACATTTATTTCATCATTTTGAGTAATACATAATCATAGTTCAATTCGTTATTCAACATATGATCAACAGTGAACATGATAGTATTAAACTACAAATTCAGAATCCAACACTTCATATTTCCGATTTCACTCCGTTGAGAATGGTCATTTATTGGTTCGATGTTCATGGGATTAAGATATCACCTGGGATCAGCAAACGAAACGAAAACAGCAGGAGAACGACAAGACAAGCTAAGCTATTTAACTGTACTGCAGCCTTGTTAACTAAAGGGAGAAGGCAAGATCCAGTCGGGAGAACGCAACTCATGTGTATATATACAATTTCCTTGAAAAGTCTAAGAACCAAGATAAATACTGAAATTAATTCAAATAGTCAGAGTTTTTAAGGAATATCTGAGAGAATTCAGAGAAAGACGTTATTTTTTCATTATCCTGAGTGGACAACTACCATTTTCAGCATGTTTTCCAAAATCTCACATCTAATTACATTATTATCCTTGTACTGTGTTCACCACATCATCACGCAGGAATAAGATCCGATGCCTCACAGCGTGAAAGCTTCTCCAGTACTCACATTTCCCCAACTCTGTACATAAACTAAGCTCCAAAGTTAAACTTCTTTCACATTTACTATCCGTTCGTCGTTCAACAGTATAAGACTTTTAGAGAGCAGGGAATAATAAGGACATTTGTGCGAAATCGCTCGAATAAAAGATGTATCAGAATCACTGAAAATTAGATAACGCTAGATGACTCTATAGTCGTGAATATGAATAAAAATATTAACCTGTTTCCCCTGCTTTTCAGTGATCTTTTAATGTATCGTTTTTCAGTGTCGAATCCTATCTTCAAGTAAAATTGACCTTTTAAATTTATCCAATAGACTAGATGTTTCTTATAGTGTATGTGGAAGTTTTTTACCATAATTGACATTGTTTGGGATAACATTCTTTTCAGTTATCTTCTGTCTTTTCATTTGAAACTTGTAACGGTTCTAACGTCCAAGTACTCGAGTTATAGGCTGTACATTAAGAATCTAAGCTCTAAATATAATAGATATCTATTGTTCTGAAGAGATATATTAAGGGTTAATAAGCGTCATTTCATCAGTGTGCTGTGATTGCCTCTTATCAGATAATATTTGTACTCAATTAAACAAATTATCAGATTTCAATTTACAATTAGAACATTTGAAGTATATTTCTCGTGTTATATTGTGTTACATCCAATTCATTTAATATAAAAATCATAACGATTAACTTACCAAGACTATGTGGAGGAGCTTTATTACCAAAATAAGGATGATAATGTAAACAACATATCAACATTTTCAGAGGTTAACAGACGAATGGAAACATCAAAATACTGACCATTACTAGATAACTAGAAAAATTCACTTATTCATAACATATAATGTATAATTCATTTGATATAGATTATCTGTAGGACAATTGAATAGAACAATTTTTTCTTTACCCTTTTAATTGCATTAAACTCTCAACTAAACCATATCAATACGAAAATATTCAATATAAACATTCTTGTGTTGTACAAACTACTTAAATAGATCCGATATTTAATTAAACAATGAAATTAATTAATTAAGATAACTAGGCGAGACTATAATTTATTAACGATCTTTGAAGGAATCCTAAATGAACTTGATAAATATTAGCTAATCAAGAAACTGTCAGTATAGAGTGAAAATATGTTATACAAAACCAAAGAAATAAAGCGTATACACTTCTTATATGTGTTTCAAAACTTTTCAAGGTTACAAAGAGGTTTAAATGTTCTAAGATCGTAATACATGCAGTAGAGGAGATCATCCATATGGCTTCAGGATAATTGGCTGCTGTAACCATGATAAAGTCTCAAAAACTATTTCCACCTCGACTGCATAGTTTCAATATTGTTTATGTGCGCACCGGTTATTGAGTGCACAAAAAGCTACTTGTCGATAACGACACGATGCACATAAACAAGCCCATGTAAGAGTCTGTACGCTTTACAAAACCTGGCTGCAACTAGTATTACTGATGCTTTTATTGTCAAGTTCACGATAATCGTCGTAATTTGCCTCGGTTAGGAACTATATATAAATAGCCAAACGGATAAATGACTTTAGCGCCAAAATCCGAAACCTCTTATGTTATACGCGATTGGTTCGTCTCGTCGTTTCATTTGTTATAACCCCTCAATTATCACGTTTTGTATAAATCGATTGTACGTTAGCATCAGGTATTGAAATGGACACCGTAACCTTAAAATCCCTCAGACACTTCTGATTGGCTCATCGATAACTATATACTACTGATAAATAGTTACTTACTGTACATATTTGTAAACTTACCATTATCTTTATTGGTCAATAGGATATAACTATCCGGAATAGTCGTATTTAAACGAAATTAATATTGAATTTCTTCTTCATTGATTATTATGATTTCATTTTTCAAACATTTTGATACATAAATACAATCAGGAAATAATGAATAAATTCAATCTTAATGTAATGAATTATGCAATCGATTCATATGATGTAATTCAGGTCCTGTATGATACATTGGACAAGGTGATGGTATATCACCATAGTTACCAGGATATTCCTTAATATTTAAATAAGAATTCATATCTTTATATAATTTACTTTGTATACTACTACTATTATCATAATTATCAGTAGTAGTTTTCGAATTACTAAGAATTAAGTTTTCAATTAATTGATTTCGCGCCTCACATTGTTAATGACCTTGTTGTAATGCATTTAAACAAGACATCCAACCAATCGATAAACGTTTAATTCCTAACAATCATATTTTATGATTATTATCTGTATTTGACTTATTCTGTGAGTTGATGGTAGATAATAAAGTTTCTATTAGATATTTGGCTTGATTTAAATGTATTGAATTTCGAATACGATAACCATGATATAATGATTCTATACATACTATAGCAATTAATAGATCATGATTAATAATTGGTTGATTCGAACGATTGATAATTGTTTCTTCAATTGGATTACTATAAACAAAAGTAAATCAATGAAATAAGAAAAAAAGAAGAGTTATTGGTGAAACTATAAATGAAGATGAACATATGCGCCACACAAATCTCATTCGATATTTGTGGGAGCTGTGATACTGCCTGGTTGCCCAAACGGAAGCAGGTGGTTTTCTAAAGGAGCCACTCCCCGAGACTTCGACCTGAAGGTCTGATCCACAAGCCAGTGGAGCATCGTAAGGAGATGCAGTCCCATTGAAGCCGATGACCAACCATTAGTTCATACGCCATTTGTTCCCTCAGTATACTAGAGCTCATGGTCACCATTGGTTTAGAATCCAGTTAAAACACCGGATATTCGCTTTTCGTTTAGCCATTTTCGTAAACAACACCCCTGCCACGAGAAGGCAGTGAGTGGGACTTCCCTGGCAGAGGCTATATACACGTGGACATGTGAGAGCATTTCGAGAGGGAAAGCGGACTTTCCTCACTCTCTGCCCTACCAGGGCATTTGGGGGCGAAGGATGAATTAATCAGGTATAAGATCATAGTGTTTTAGATTTCGACGCAAAAATCTTCCATCTTTTTCGTTAAAAAGTGTTCTGATATTATAGCTGATGTAAGTTCGTGATGAACAAACCCTTACCCCCACAACAATTGTAAATCATAAATCTAATACTTCACACTGGTTTATATTACTTAATTGATCCTAGTTCTTATGTAGACACTTTCATGGTCAATCTGCCATCGCTCAAAGATTGTTCATAAATGATAGTGAATGATAAGTGGATAAATATAGTTAGGTTATCAAACATAAATTCAAGATCTTCAGACAGTACATTGAATAAGTTCATATGGAAAACAAAGCTTCGACTGAAACAAGAGAATATCATACGATTAAACATAAGAAATGGTGCTCAACTCATAGTTCATGAAGTCATATAAGTAAGATATGCGCTTGATAAGAAAGGGATGATAATAAGATGAAATTAGCTAAGTCTATGTATATATATATATATATATATATATATATATATATATATATATACCTCATTACAATGGGAGATGATTGCTCAATTTCGTGGATTTGTTAAAGTTCGACATTAACACCGTCAGATACCGGCCAACTCAGTGGTCTAGAGGTTAGAAGTTCGTGCGTGAGACTGAAGGCTCTGAGTTTGGACTCGCAAAGAGGATCGTGGATGCGCGCTCCTAAGGTGCCCCACAATAGGACGAAACTGCCGTCCAGCGCTTCCAGGTTTTCAATGATATTTTAACATCAATCATTTCATGATCTGAATCAAAAACGTTTATTGTATCGGTTCAGTATAAACTTTGTTCTATATGACAAGTGTGAACTCTCTTTCCTTTTGACAATTTTATTCCCTCTATTAATTCAGGTGAACTACATTTATTGTATGTATTTTTACAGTAATTGTATTGGCTTCCCCCTTTTTATGTACTATAAATTGATTGTATAAATGATTGTATTATAGTCTAAAGATGATGTGATTTTTAATTTTTTTCTTCGGAAACAGGTTTTCAAAGAGTCAGTAAATTTTCATCGCAACAATCTTTTGTGTTCTCACTTTGTATTATGGAAACTGTAGTGCATGGAAGAATTTCAATGGTTCCATGTTATCAAGTGGAGGCAATAAGACTGTGAATTCAACAGAGTCGATAAGCACATAAAAAACGAAAATCCCCTATAAATTTAATAGTTGCTTATCTAGTTACAAAAGTGCCGAGAGACTCAATTTTACAGTTATCATAGCGATAAAATGTATAGGTATGTTCATCACTTGAAACATTTCCGTTAAAAAAGAAATGAAATAGTCTAATTTCAACTAAACGATTGTTTTAAAGTGTACAATGTGTGAATAATATTAGATACCCGATTGAGCATTTAATTCTAACTGGAGATTATCAGTTGTATTTACCTGCTATTACTCGACAAGGTTGATGTTTACAATTAACCTCAAGTCCAATAATTTACACGTCAAATACTAACGTATTATTCACTGAACAGATAGCCATCAACCTTTACGACGGGTAAAATGTATTATATTATTAGTTAGCGCTTTTAGGAATAAACTAAAAACACATATAAATATCATACTATTCTAGTTACAATCATTATCAATAATAGTGTTGAATGACTTAAAGTCGCAATTCATTAAAAGATATTTACCATATTATTATGATTAATATGCAAGAATATATGAAACAATGGCCCCCAAATGCTCTGGTACGGTCGAGAGTGGAGAGATTAGGCTATCCCACTCCAAATGCTATCATATTGGCACGTCCATATAACCACCGTCAAGGAAGTCCTACTCACTGCATTCTCGTGGTAAGGTGTGTTGTTTACGGAATTGAGAGAACAAAAAGTGAATTTTCGGCGCGCTTACCAGGTTGATGGATATGGTGGATCCACGTAAGGGAGTTGGAAACAAATGGTGTATGAACCAATTGTTGACTACCAGCTACCATGAGAATGTATTTCCTTGGGTTGCTCCACTGCCTTATGGATCAGGCTTTTGGGTTGCAGCCTCTGGTTGTGGCCCTTAAGAAAAGTGCAATTTTCGGTTTAGCCACCTGGACAAAATCCCAGCACTCATAGAAATTGAATGATTTATGTAGCGCATATCCATTTGGTGCTTCATTTTATGAATGTTTATGTGTTTAAATAAATAAATAACAAAAAATATGGTGTTTCAGTTCAAATAAAATACTCAGAAAGAACAATAAATCTATTCGATAGTAGTAGTAGTAGTATTAGTAGTAGTAGTAGTAGTAGTAGTAGTAGTAGTAGTAGTAGTAGTAGAAGTAGCAGTAGTAGTAGTAGTAGTAGTAGTAGTAGTAGCAGTAGTAGTAGTAGTAGTAGTAGTAATAGTAGTAGTAGTACTAGTAACGAAATAAAGATTTGTAGCAATTAGTTCCTTTTATAAATTTCGATTGAAGAATGAGAAGATGGCGTTGATCTGACAAATTTGATGTATTTGCGCTGTACATTTCGAACAATCTGGTCACACGTATACTTGTCAGGGCATTTTTATATGCAAATTATTAAACTTCTTAGAAATCAGAGTACAAATATATAATCCAAGGTAGTGAATGAATAAGAAATTGTGGCGTTATCTTAGATCATAGAATGACTTAAGTATCACCAAAGTGTATTCAAGGTTACAGACAATTGATCAACTTTTAAACAACGTGGAGCTAGGTGACTATACACCATCACAGTTAAAACGCCACATGACAAGCTTACTAGGAAACCGTACAGTAGACAAACGTCTATTATATCAATTGTGGCTCAGACGTCTTCCACAAAACATCCAACAGATACTTGCATTCGGAGACGAAGACGTTGACTTTGGTAGGCTAGCGGACATAGCCGACAGAATTTACGAGCGGTCTAACACTCACCCTGTATCTCACATCCACTCAAGCTGAGCTCACGAGATCGCCGAGTTACGACGACCAGTTGATACCCTTATCAAACTGATAGCCCAGATCCAATTATTGAATGCCTCCCACAGTGAGTGTAGAGGAACATGCAGAAGCCGTAGACGTCGTAGTCCAAGCACTACCAGACACAACATTTGTTGGTATCATAGAACGGACTTACGGGAAACAAGCTAGAAAATGTACTCCTCTTTGTAACTTTGCAAGCACACAGAAAAAGGAACGTCAAAACCGCCGGTAAATGACTACTGCAGTCACTGACCACAACCCTCATGACAGTCGTCTTTTATATAATACAGACATAAGAACCGGCACAAAGTTTTTAGTCGACAATGGGGCAGGTGTTGGTGTTGTGCCGCCCAGTGCACTGGAGAAAAACACAACTGACCCAAAACTAAAACTACGAGCATGAAACAAGTCTGGCATTAAGACGTACGGCGGAAGGAGTGAACAATTAATTTTGATCCTCAATCTAATTTTTCATTGAGTTTCATCATAGCAGACGTCCTCGTTCCTCGTTCTGCAAATCCACAAAATACTGGTTGACGTCAGAAATAAGAAAACTTGTCCTTGTCGAACAGAGTAGAGAAATTAGAAGAATTATACCCTCTCCAACTTTTGCACGACTTCACTCATAGCATACCTGACGTGTCGATTTTTTCAAAATTTGACCTCGTGCGCGCATACCATAACATTCCAATTCATCCGGACGATGTTCTTTAAACAGCCAATAATACTTATTTTGGACTATACGAATTCGTTCGCATGCCTTTCGGACTGAGGAATGTTGCACAAAGTTTCCAGCGTTTTATTAAATAAGTGGTACATGGCTTACCGTTTGTATAGGCTTACATAGATTACCGACTTATACCAATCAAAGAGGAAAATGAACATCCAACTCATCTGAAAATGCTTCTTGGGAAGCTACACGAGTATGGGTTGGCAGTCAACTCTGACAAATGTGAGTTCGGAAAGCAATCCCTCACGTTTTTAGGTCATGTACTTGATAATCAAGGCATTAAACCAGTTCCTGAGGAAACACAAGCTATCAGAAATTATCCTTTACCTGATTCATTCAAGAAACTACGACGTTTCCTTGGGATGATCAACATTTACAGACGTTTTATCCCCGAATGTGCAGACATAGCAAAACCGCTAACTGATTTCTTAAGGAGACGAACTGAATCATTGGCAATGACACCACAAGCAATTAAAGCATTTGACCAGTTGAAAAGCGCTTTAAGCAGAGACGCATTACCCGTACTACGAAAGGTTGATGCACCTTTAGTAGTAATGACCGACGCTTCTAATGTAGCAGTAGGTGCTGTACTTCAGCAACGTGTCAATCAACAATGGCAACGCCTAGCATTTTTCTCAAAGAAGCTAAACGCAACGCAAACAAAATATAGCACATCCGGTAGAGAACTGTTGGCTATCTACTTAGCCGTAAAACACTTCCGCTATATGTTAGAAGGTAATTCTTTCACGATATATACTGATCACAAACCTCTAACGAAGTCCTCGATGCGCAATCATGATAAATGCAGTCCGAACGAAATTCGTCAACTAGAATTCATTTCACAATTTGCAGCTGATATACCCTATACTAATGGCAATGCAAATCAGACAGCAGATGCACTATCGAGAATAAATATCAATGCCTTCTCGATCCCTGATATAAATTATCAAGAAATGGCAAAGCATCAAAAGCTCTATACGGAGCTGCAAAAACTGTTGCAGTCTAAGGTAACGAAATTATTGTTTTAAAACATCACCATAAACAACAAGGACACCTTAACTTGTGATACCTCAACAGGTAAACTCGCCCCTTTGTACCTTACGGTACAGATAGATTTGTATGGCCAAACATAAACAAAGACGTACGAAAGTGGTCGCGGGAATGCGTTCAAAACTAAAAGTCAAGAGTACATAGGCACATCATACCCCCTACAGGAAGTTTTCCCGACGCAAGCGTCAGGTTCGACCACATTGATATCGAAAATGTAGGACTGTAACCAATTTCTAATAGTTACACGCATATATTAACATGTATAGATAAATTTACGAGATGGACCTTAGCTGTTTTGGTAAAAGACACGTCAGCATCAACAGTGGTGAAGAAGCTGGTGAAACACTGGGTTACAAAATTCGGTGTCCCTACAACAATTTCGATCGATCGTGGAACGCGATTCGAAAGCGAACTATTTCAGCAACTTACGGATACTTTCTGTATAAAGAGAATTGGAACCAATGGTTATCAACCGCCTGCTAACGGAATGATAGAAATCTTCAACAGACAGTTAAAAGCCTTTTTGAAGGCCGCATGAGGGGATTACAAATGGGATGTCAAGCTTCTTTTGATACCATTAGTCATTCGCTCAACCATCAATCAAGACCTTGGTTGTTGTGCAGCTGAGTTGGTTTCTGGAACAACGTCACGTTTGCCTGGTGGATTCTTTGACCGTGCAGCAGATATTCCAGCAGATATAACCAACTACGTGCAACAATTAAAACAGCCGATGGAATCCATTAGGTCCTTTAAACCACGAACTCAAAAGGTGAAATCATTCGTACACAATGAATTAGACAAATGCTCACATGTATTCGTCAGAAATGATAGAGTACGTCAGCTGTTACAGACTCCTTATGACGGCCCTTTTAAAATCATCCGAAACGACACTAAAACGGTTACAGTGGAAAGAGCAGGTAAACATGATACTGTTAGCATCGACAGAGTAAAACCAGCATTTTTCGAGAACACTGAAAAACAGTCAACTGTAAAACCGTCTAAACCCGTAGCAGAGTAAGCACCATTCAAACTACCTGCAACAAACAATACTTTAAATCAAACTTCAGCAGCAACAGAAACCACAACAAGATCACGAAGAAGAGTACATTGGCCAGATAGGTAGGTAGCAACCACCATATTTATCTTGACCAAATCCTGAGATTGCACTCATAACACAAAAGAAATCCTACTTTATTTGGATTACTATTTTCTTTATTGGCCTCACGGATCAACATTATGCTTACATTTTAACTTTATACAATTCGTTAATGTTAAATATACACTTGTATATACATGATATGAAACGTTTCAACACACAAGCTGTTGTTACTCAAACTTAACTTGTAACACCGATCGGAAGTAGAAAACCTGACAGCAGAACGTTAAAAAGATCGAGTTGAAGAGAATATAAGGAAAAGAAGAGAGTGTAGTCTGGAAGGATCACACAGAATGTGATAAACAAATGATGGAAATTCACAAATGAAGTGTTCAATGCAATGGTTGTGATATCTTATCAAGCTGCCAAATGCTCAGGTATGGATGACAGTGTATGTATGAATGTATGAAAATAACTAACACTTTTATCATTTCGAAGTTACTGTCTCAATTAATATTCATTGAACCGTAGATATAGTGGCTTTATGAAGTGAATTATCACGAGAACTTGTCAATTTTCAAACCTACTTCATACAAACACCACAAACCTGTATATCGTATGCAGTGAGGAATAAGATTTGCAAAGACAAATTGAGGATTCTCTCTGATTCATCGCACTGAATCTAACATAACACCACGTTCTATCACCATTTCTCTTTACATCCGATAACATTTTCAAAGTTAAATTGATTGCTCTTTCTTCAATCTCAGTGAAGTCAACGTGTTTGTCTAATGAACAAAACATATTTGTGTTGACCTCTTTCTTGTTTATGATTATACTTTGTTTATCATTGATCACCTCAGTCTATCTCATTAATCAAAAGATAATATGGTATTCTCTATTGTGTATCGTGGGTGTCAAATGAATGTTGTTTGTTTATTTGACTGACATCAAAGATGAGTGAAATTCTCATTTTACATATAATTACCACTTTGCTAAAAAGAAGATGAAGTGAAAGCAAATGTTCTGGTTGTCAATCCATAAATAGTCTTGCTTCAGCTATGAATAAACACTTCAATCATCGACTATCTTCGTTGAATTGTTCAACTAACTTTATGTTTTATGATAAGAATAAGTCGTTTTGTGATTCCTGTTTTCTCATACTCCTGGTAGATTTACATATACTGGATGAGTTGCAAAGCGAAAAACATGAAGTGTATCTCTCAGGAGTAAGAAATGAAGATGGACAGAGATTTGTAAATCTATGTGCATTCAACAAATTGATTATAGGCATCACAACATCACCCCACAAATGCATTCACAAAGCTACACGGGTCTCACCGGATCACACTGCATAGAATCAGACAGATCAAGATCAAAAGGAACAGAGAGAAACCAATCAACAACAGCCGAACAATTACATAGGAAATCAATGACCGAGCTGCATAAACGGAAGCAAAATATCAAGTGAAGAGGTGCATTACAGCCAACAAGCAAGCGTACGTGGAGCACCAAGCAACGAGAGCAGATGAAGCCGTAGCTGCAAGAAACATGAAACAACTATACGAAACGATAAACAAAGTGGCAGG